CGGGGAATGAACGTATTGGGTTCGGTGCATAGGGGGTCCCCGTACATCTGGGGGACAGAGACACACAAAAAGTAAGGGAGGGCCACAGAAACCTAAAGTGGAGAGAAGAGTCTGCAAGTGGGAGAAGGGAGTGCCTGCCAGCCACCTGCCTGAAGAGATCTATTGGGCATCAAGTGCCTGGCAACTTTATAGGATCTGAAGATGAGCCTTTACATTGAGGAGTCCATCATGGGAGGCTCCAGGAAACAGACGAGGATGGTTTCAAGAGTGAGAACTAGTCTCATGACAGAGAGGGACTTTACTGGAGGCAGGAGAAGATGAAAATGCTGCTCATTCACTTGTATAGGAGGAGTGGGGGAACAGACTTATTGAAACTGACAAAAGATACAGAGAGGTCAGAGGGAGGCATTAATAATCCATGTATGATAGATGTGGTCCCCATATTTAGAAGAATAACAGCTACCAGCTCGTGGGAAAGAAGATGGGTTTTTAAAGAACATTTGGGTCATGAGAGTCTGAGTGCTTGATGACCTCCCCTTTCCTATTCTCCATTCTCTCCCCTCCTTTTGTACCCTGCTCCTCCTTTGGGGGAAGTTTCCAGGAAGAAGACAGCTTTTCTTAGCCAGATCCTAAGAAGGATCCTGGTGGGAGAAGGTTGGAAATATACTGTCAGGATAACCACAGACCAGATCGGCCTTTGTCTGTAACATGCTCTGCAATCAAGAGTCAACCCTACCCTCCCTAATCTTCATGGTGAGGAGGGAAGCCAGCCCCACAGAATGAGACCTCACTGGGCACAGTAAGAGACTTAAGAAAAGAGCAAGTAAACAGATTCCTGATGACAGAGGAGCATCCCAAGATGAGATGTGAAGACAGACAATTTTCCAGGAAAAAAAAAAAAAAATGGGACCAACAGCTGTGCATGCTCAGGTGCCTGAGGGTTTTCCTCTCCACCCCACCCCCAATCTCTGCTGTCTTGCCAGTACCATTGCCACATACCATTCATAGGGACACAGTGAAGGGCCTTAAGGGGTGACATCAGAGTGCTAAAACTAGGCTAAAGATATTGGTTAGAGAATGTTCATAGGAAGAAAAGTCCAATGCTGTCACCTTTGTGGGATAATTAATTTGGCACATTATAGGAGAAAGGCCTTTGGGCTTTATTCCAGTGCCTTGAGTGACCTCTGAAAAACCCCATCCCTTATTGGTTATGGTAATACCTCTAATTTACCCAACCTGCACGTCAGAGAGAAAGATGGACCACTGAGATGGACGTATCTAAAAGTCACAATGCTTTCAAAATTTCACTGTCTTGGTGCTTTCTTGGAGACTCTACCAATATTCTCTAGATACAAAGATCACTGACAGGGCTGGGGGTTATAGCTCAGTGGCAAAGAACACTAGAATTCAAAGCCCCAGCACTATAACCTCAGTCACCCATCACTTAGACCACAGATACTGAAGGCAACAAGCCTATTGCACCTCAACACATGGTGCACCCAAAGGAAAAATCTGTTGCTACATATAACCATAACCGAACACAGGAGCTGCTCCAGACTGCAGCTGGGACAAGCAGGGTAGATCTCAGGGGACAGGAAAGGGACACAGAGAACCTTAGCTTAGGAACAACTCTACACACACACACACACACACACACACACAGAGAGAGAGAGAGAGAGAGAGAGAGAGAGAGAGAGAGAGAGAGTCTAGACTTAAAGATAATGACCCTGGGAGGCAAAGGAACATGGCAGAGGAAGGGGAAATGTATGTGAAATTTTTACTGGAATGAGAAGTTCCACAAGGGTTCAAGACAGGGATTCCTTAGAGTCCCTGATCCAACCATCAAAAACCTGTGTTTTGGTACCCCCCAAATCTCCATCACCCCAGGAAGCAGAGGGGATGGAAAAAAAGAGGAATGGCGATGAAGGCTGGGCAATAAAAGGAAAATAAGTAGGCACAGACTGTGGTGAAGAGATGGGATGTGGGGTAAGAAACACAAGATGGGTTGAGGGACACGTAACGGGGTAGATCTAAAAGAAAAGGAAAGAAAGATGATGGTAAATGCCTAGGGACAAGGGAACAGACCAGAAGGTTTCAACCAGCAAACACGGGGCAGAGGGAATGAGGAAGACCTATCGGGCAGAAACATGGGGGCCAGGAATAGTAATGGTGTAATAGGTAGTTATTAGAAGAGAGGGAGAGAGAATAGATATTAGATAGGGGACTAGTACAGGGGAAGGACAGAAGGGGGACTCATATAAGAAACGGACATCATATGGGGGGAAAGATATAAGTGATGGACAGCAGAGGAAGGGAGGGGGAATGGAAATAAGAGGTGGGGTGGGGGAAGGGGTCAAAGTGATTAAGTGAGATGAGACCCCAGGGGTTCCATTTCACTTATCAAGAAACCTAATGAGGCTCAGTCACTGGTGGGATTTTAACCTAGCCCTCATTCCCACCACTTAATCTTGCATCTCCCCCAACCCAACCAAAAAACCACTTGGTCCTCCCCCTTCTCTGGCATCCCCTCCCCCAACCCTTTCTCCCTCCTCTCTTCCCTCCATCTGGACCCCCACCCCCCCACTGCCACCCTCTTTCTCCATCTGGCCCCTTCCCTCCCTCCATCCTCTTCTCTTTTCCTACCCCTACTATACTGAGCCCCTCACCAAATTCCCTCCCCATCTTCCTGGTCTCTCTTTCCACCCGTTTTCATTTTCCCCTTCTCCCCTCTCCTAAGACCGTGCCTTTATTTCCTTGATATTTTCCTCCTCACTCTATTCCCAAACTAGACTCAATCCTCCCTTCTCACGCCTTTCTGACGCTCCGCTCCTTCCCCTCCATCATCTACCCTGAAGCCCCCTTCAAGGCCTGTGTCCCGGCCCCTCCATCCCTTACATACCCTAAGCCTCTAACCTCCAATCCCTCCTTTCCCACTGTTCGCACCTCTGCCGTCTCAGCCCTCCCCTCTCCCTCCATTTCAGCCGCTCCCTCCCCTCGGTGGCCCTGGCTCTCCCCCGCCCCCTGCCCCTCCCCCTCTTGCCCCCCCATCTGGCCCTACCCCTACCCCTACCACCACCGTACCTCTGAAGGGGGCATAGGACATCGCGGGGATGCTCCCCCGATGGATGGAGGCTCGAGACCTGCTCATCAGGCCTGAGGGGGAGGGGGCGGGGGGACGGGGGGAGAAAAAAAAGAGAGAAAGAGGGGGAGAGAGAGGGGGAGAAGGAGGAGGTGGAGGAGGAGGAGAGAGGAGGAGAGAGGAGCGGAGAGGAGCAGAGAGGAGGAGAGAGGAGGAGGAGGAGAATAAGAGCCAACGGCAGCAGCGGCAGCAGAGAGAGAGGGGGGCGGGGGAAGCGAGCTAGTGAAGAGAGAGCGGGAGGAGGAGGGAGAGACTCTGCAGCCCCCACCCCTACTCGGGGAGACCCGGAACAAGAGAGCGCGAGAGACCCCTGACTCATACACACCAGAGACAGCAGTCCTGAAGAAGTTGACCCCAGACCCAGAGACAGACCCCAGACCCAGAGAAAGGTATCTCACCTCTCACTCCACACTCAACAAATTAATCTCACAGGCCCAAATCTAGAAGGAAAGAGACCCTGACCTCAAAAGAAGAAAAAATAAAAGCCCCCCCCCTCCGTAAAAAGGAGCCATCGATCAGAATCTGAGAACCCATTCTCAAGAAGGTTCTCCAGACCCACATTAGTCTCAGACTTCAGACCCTGGATCGGTAGTTTGGGGGACTCAAAACAGAAACCTAGACTAAAAGAAAGAGATGAAACCATACTAGAAAGAGCCCCAGGCTAGAATTAGATCTTAGGACCTAGCTAGGGATGAGAAACCCCAATTCATATCTCAGAGAAAACAAACTGCAAACTTGGGGGTGAGAGGGCATTCAGGGGATCCAAAGATGGAGAAAGGGGGCCACAAGAGATTGAAATTCATTAAATCTGAGAAAAATTAGTGGGCGATCACTGGACTCAATTCCCTGAAACAACTCCAAAGATAACTAAGACCCCATAAAAATCCCAAATATTGGACTCCCTGCCTACACATACACAAGGATCTCTGAGACAGAGAGAGACCACCCCTAACTCAAGAGGGAAACGTGACAGCCTGAACTTCAGCCTGGGGAAATCCCAGCCACCCACGCCAGGGACCCCAGACTGGGGACTAATACAGGGGTAACATTTGAGTGGCAGAGCGTCCCCCCTCCCTTCTCTGACTTCTCACTGGCCCCCCACTCCATTTTTGGGTCACTGGATGTGTTTGGGCCCCAGGGAGGTTATGTAGGGCAGGTCCTTCCTGGTTCCTAGGGGCGGGGGATGGATGAGAGTAAGGAGCCCCAAGACTGAGAGGTGAGCCAGTGCTGGAGACAAGAATCAGCGGGGGGCGGGGAGGGGAAGGGACAGTCTGCAAACTGTCATTTCTTCTTTGCTCTCATTGGCCAGTCTGCCCTAAGCCTTGGGCACCTTCCATCTCTCTAGCCCATTTACAGGTGTCACTCCTCACCCAGCCATGGCCGAGCCATGTCTGAGCCGGCCTGGCCACTGCCCCCTACCCGGGGACAGCTGGCTTCTAGGCCCGGTGCTAACGCAGGGGAGGGGAGGTGGCGGCGCTGTCGACACCCACCCAGAGCTGTCTGCTCAGGCCCTGTCGCGGGCACGGGGAGGAGGGGACTGTTACTAGGCACATTCCGGGGCTCAGGGCGACAACCCGGCCCCGGCCTGACGCAGCCTGGGCGCCCGTCGCCAGGTCCCGCATCACGTGGCCCGCCAGGCTGGCCGGCGATTGGCCTGCGCCCGCCGCTCCTGAGGAGGCGCCGCGTGAGAGGACGGGAGCCGTCACGTGATGGCGGCCTCCGCAGCGGCGTCCCCGCCCCCTCCCAGCCAGCCACGGGTTAGGGCTTCACGGAAATGGGCGCACCACTTCCGCACCCGTCCTCAGTTCTAGCTGCCGATTGGCCAGAGGGACCTCCGTCCCGCCCCTTCAGGAGCAGGGCCGGGATTGGCCAGATCCGGAGGCCCTAGGAAGGCCAGGCCGCTGCCGTCACGTGGCTGCCGCCTAGGTAAGAGCCGGCTGCCTCCTCCGGGGCTCCGGGTCCTTCCCCAGTGCAGCGCGCGGGCCGCCTTAGATCCGTCTCCCTTATTCCACCAGCTTGGGCTGCATGAGCTGGGGGCGGGCACCAGTCGTCCTGCTCGGCGGAGGGGTGAGTCTGGCCCCGCCCCTTCCGGTCTCCAAGTTTCACGGGGCTTCAGCACCCCGGACCTCCCGGGGAGCGGGAGGGCCGAAGAGGTGTTTCAGGTTTAAGTTCTAGGGGCTTTCCTTCCTGGTGCAGAAAAGGCAGGGCAGAGGCTGGGTGTCTGCCCCAGCCGAGGCGCCCCGAGGTGCATTTTCTTGGGGCAGTTGTGGGGACGCTGAACCCGCCCCCTACTCCCAGGCCACGCTGCTCTTGTCGTTTCTCTGGATGCCCGCGCTCCTGCCGGTGGCTTCCCGCCTTCTGTTGCTGCCCCGAGCCTTGCTGTCCATGGCTTCTGGAAGCCCTCCGACCCAGCACTCTTCGGCCTCTGGCTCCGGCTACGTTCCAGGATCTGTTTCTGCAGCCTTTGTCACTTGTCCCAACGAAAAAGTCGCCAAGGAGATCGCCAGGTGGGGGCCTCGGCAAAATGACCAACAGGGGAGAGCTGGGGCTAGGGGAAGGGTGCTGCCTCTGCAGGTGGCGCTGGCAGCCTGTCTCTGGGCTGCCAGCACACCTCCAGGACGGGCGCCCTCTCAATGGGCTCTCCATTCACCCTCAGGGCGGTGGTAGAGAAGCGCCTAGCAGCCTGCGTCAACCTCATCCCGCAGATCTCTTCCATGTAAGTCCTCAGACAGAAACTTAATTTAACTGGAGGGGCTGAAAGCTTTTTCGGGGGGGGGGGGATCTTTCCTTCCTAAGACATTGTTCCCTCCTTTCTCTGATCTCTTCAGCTATGAATGGAAAGGAAAGATCGAGGAAGACAGTGAGGTGCTGATGGTGAGAAAATACCCCTCCTGTCTGGCTCCTTGAATAACTCTTGGCCCTCACCTGACATCAGTTCCACCCCTTGATTGAACGATGTCTTGTCTTTGCCCTTTAGATGATTAAAACCCAAAGCTCCCTGGTCCCTGCGCTGACAGAGTTCGTTCGGTAAGAGCTTTAAGGTTTTCTTTTGTGGTGACGCTGGGGAACGAATCAGGGCCTCGAGCATTTCAGGCAAACACCGAGTGATATCCTCAGTTCATTAAAAGAGCTCTGAGACGGACACTGTGGGGTGGACCTTGCTGGGGCAGTCCAGGACTGTTGTCTGAGGGGGTGTGCCCTTGGATGACTGAATAACCCCGGCCCTGTCACCTCCGCAGATCTGTGCACCCTTATGAAGTTGCCGAGGTGATTGCATTGCCTGTTGAGCAGGGAAATGCCCCATACCTGCATTGGGTGCACCAGGCCACAGCATCAGTTTCACATTCTGGCACAGCCCCCTCCTCTGCTTAATGCCCTCTGGTTCCAGGTGATGATGACTGAGCCCCAATAAATCCTCTTCTCTCCGTTATTCCCTTGTGACATAGATGTGGTTGGTGAAGACCCTTATATTCTGTTCATCTTAAAGAATGACCGATGTGTACTAGGTTTGTTTACTTCTCTTTATTACAGTCATACAGAGTCTGGAATCCTGAACCACCACCCCCATCTCTATACCCAGGGGTTAATAGTTTTTAAAAACATTTTAAAAGCTGTAACAAAATAACATCAAAGGAAATGAGAAGGATGAGGGGTCAGGGGTCATGATGGGGCAGAGAAGAGGACTTCCCCACTCCCCTGGATTTCAGCCTGGGCAGTAGGGAGAACTACTCCCTATCTCTCCAGGTACATCCCAGCTGTAGGTGAGGTCAGAGGTCAGGGCATGAAAGTGCCAGTGTGTGAATGGGGAGGTGGGCAGAAGAAGGCTGTCAGAAGATGCCCCCTCCTCCCCACTCAACTAGGTACTGCACAGAGCCATCAGGCCGCACCCTCCGAGCAAGGACCCTGACAGGTTCCCCTCGGGACAGGTAGCCAACCCCACCTCGGACTCCTCCCCCGGTCCCTGGAGACAGACTACGGCACAAGGGAGAAGGGGGCACCGAGTGTCTGGAAAGGCCGGGAATGGGGGCTGGGACTGAGGAAGATGAGGCGGCCACTGAGTGGGGAGAACTTTTAGGGATGTCTGTGGGGAAGCCAATGTGAAATTCCAGGGGTGACCTGCAAGAGAAGACAACAGTAAGACCAGACAGGCCCAGCATGGGTGGCTGGTGCCTGTAATCTCAGCACTGGAGGCAGAAGGGCTGCCATGAGTTTGAAGTCAGTCTGGGCTACAGAGACCCTGTCTCACATGTTAGGGAGACCACATGTGGATCAGAGGAAAGGAAAACCAGTCTGAGAGACCCTAGGAGCCTAAGGCCACAAGGGAAAGGAGGGAACTGGTGTTTCTAGGGATGGACTCACCTGTCTAGGGGTTCACTGTCCCCAGAGGTCCCTGCAGTGCTAGCAGAAGGGTGGAAGGAAGCAAACATCCGGATGGGGCTGCTAAGGTGGGGGAACAGGCAAGTCAGGACCTGAAGACAGAAGCATGCCTTCCCCACAGGGGCAGAGTTCGAACACTACCTCCAGTGCACTGCACTCCCAGGAGGAAGAGGGAGAGAGCTGCAGGTGACAATGTCTGAAGAGTGGATCAGGCACTGACCTGGGCAGACAGCGGGCATCTGTGGGCCGGAAGTTGTAGCCGCTGCTGCCCTGATAGCTCTGGTTAGGGCTGGGGGGTGGTGGGGACACTGAGGCCTGTAAGAAATATCAGAGGGACTGTGATGATCCTAAATCCTTTCCCTCGCCCACCAGTTTGCCCAATAAGTCTCCCCTGCCCTGTACCTGCAGCGCCCTCTGCAGACGAGCCCGCTCCCTCTGTTCGCGGGACCCATGCCGACTGTGCACTGCTGTGGGCGGCCCCAGCTCTTCCACTTTCCCTTTCTGCCTCCTCAGGGGTTCCGGCTCCGACCTCCGTCGTTTCCCCAGGGGACGTGAGACCCCTCCCCCAGGGCCCTGCCCTGAAGGGAAGCTGTAAGAGGCCTCCTTATCCCCCCAGCCCCCTCCCAGGCACCCCAAGACCCCCCATATCTACACATGTTCCCTCCAAACTGATCCTTGAGGATTCTCCCCATCCTCCCTGGGCCAGTGACCTGGTGGGAACTCCATCTCCAGTGAGAGGTTCCACAGGAGGCGGGGTCCGCGCATGGAGACCAAAAAGACATTTCCTCTTTTTAATCTCCCTCCCTGAAATGAAACTAGGACAAGGAAAGAATCAGCAGGTCCAGGGGACTGCAGCAAAGTCCCCTCCCTCATCGGGACCCGCATGGTCCCAGACTCCCTTTTCTGGCTCACCGGTCCTTGTGGCTGTTAAGGGCAGCAAGGAGCTGGGAAGAGCGTTCTCCCTTAGGGGTGTCTGAAAGCTGGAGGAAGAGGGCAAATGGGTCGGAGAGCAGTCATTCCTCTCCGTGTACCACCTCAGCTCCCAAACTTTAGCTCCCCCCCCCATACCTCTCCCAAGAGCAGGCTGTCCCAGTTCTCAGAGGCGAAGGGGAGGATCTCTCGGTCGAAATCGAAGTATTTCTTCTTGCAGCAGACACTGAGATGGTAGAGGACAAGGTGGGCCACGTCCACCCTGGAGAGACAGGAAGGCGGCAGCAGCAGGAGTCAGGATTGGTTAGGGTCAAACTTCGGGCAACAGAAAAGAGGGCACACACAATCCATCTCACCAGCGAAGCTGTAACCTCCTGACCTTCTCGGGGCCGCCCCGGCACACACAGCATTCAAATTCATAGAATCTGGAGTGAGGAGAGAGAGCACACCTCTTTCAATTCTACAGGTGGTGGAGGGCTAAGGCTGGGTGGGCATGGGCGGGGCCATCTCCGGGCTCACCTGTCTCCGTAGAGGAGGGGCTTGCTCAGACACTGGGTGCAGGCCTCGTGGAACCACTGCAGGCAGCTCCGGCACTGCAGCATTTTCAGGTTCCACCTCAGGGGAACACAGCCTTCTTGAAGCCACCCTAGACCCTCACCCGCCTCCCATCACCACGGGGCTCGCCTCAGCCTGCTCCTTTCCCTTGGTTCCAGGGTCTACCACCACAGCGCCCACCGCATAACGTGCACCCCCATCACTCACTCCCCGGGGCCTCCACAGTAACAGTAGCTCTGCTGTCGGTTGCTCAGGTGCCCAGCGTCCCAGTCCAGCCCCTTTAGTCCATATGGCAGACAGAGTTTCATGCCCAGCATGGCCCGGGCATAGGGACCCTTCTTCAGGGCACCTCCCCTCTGCAGAGGGACAGGTGGGAACCTCAGAAACGCCAGGACAAGAGATGTCATGGGAGACTCCCACATGAAGGGGCAGAGGTGCCTTTACCTTGGTGGCAATCGCAAAGATGCACTGGCGGCAGACCCAGGATGTGCCCTCTCCTTCCCCAGGGACTGGGGCCCTGGGAACGTGACAGTCCTGGTGATAAGCTGAACAAGGACAATGTTGAGAGTAGACCACTGTGTGCATACCTGCATGGGCTTGGCACTTGCACACTGCAGCCTTCCCTTGTGCTTTTAAGTCCTGACCATGGTCCTACTGGGTGTGTGTGTGTGTGTGTGTGTGTGTGTGTGTGTGTGTGTGTGTATTAGCTTTACTTTGCAAGTGAGTAAACAGGCAGTTGAGAACCTTGTCCAGGGAAGCATGGTTAGAAAAGGATGTATAAGGGGCTGTAGCAATGGCTCAGAAATTAAGAGCACTGGCTGCTCTTCCAGGGGTCCTGAGTTCAATTCCCAGCAAATACATGGTGGCTCACAACCATGTGTAATGAGATCTGGTGCCCTCTTCTGGCCTGCAGAAATGCATGCAGACAGAACACTGTATATATAATAAATAAGCCTTTAAAAAGATGTATGTAAGCTACCCTCAACCCTGCATGGCTTATGTCACTTTCATCCTATGGTTCCCTCTCCTGTACCGAGATGAGGTGACAAGGTGAAGACTGGAGAGGACAAAAGACACAGGACCCTTGCTAGGAAGGCTACTGGTAATCCAAAAGACCCAAGCTGTACCATGAGTACCCTGCCCTCTTCTCTCACCATGGCGACACTTTTCACAGCTGATCAGCCGGTTCCCAGGGACCACAGTCTCAGAGCGACAGACACAACAGAGGAGCTCCTCCCCGGGGAGGGCAGCTGTGAAGGACACAGTGTCCATCCGGAGCTTACTTCAAGCCAGTGTCACCCACCCCCTCCAGCGTTTGCAGTTATGAAGGATCTTACCTGGGCTGATGTCCTTCCATAGAACCAGAAACTGGGAATCATCCTCAAACTGGACTAGACACACCTCCCGAGCACTGTCCACCTGCAATAAGGGAACAAAGATTATAAAGTGGGAGCAGCAATCAGGAGGAGATACATGATGAGAGACCAGAGTTGGCTCTTACCTTTTTTGTTGTTGTTGTTGTATTGTTTTGTTTTAGTTTTAGTTTTTTGAGACAGGGTTTCTCTGTATTGCTTTGGAGGTTGTCCTGGGACTTGCCCTGTTGACCAGGCTGGTCTGGAACTCACAGAGAACCACCTGCCTCTGCCTCCCAAGGGCTAGGATTAAAGGCGTGTGACACCACCACCCGGCCGGCTCTTACCTTTTTGATGGTACCTAAATACAGCAGCCCATCTGTCCATCTAGCCAGCACATCTTGACCCTCCCAAAGTCGAGGTCTGGGGCCTGAGGTGGGAGCAGGGGAAGCTGGATCCCAAAAAGAAGGTGCACCCAAACGGCTCAGCCGGGGGAGCTGCGCCATTGCATCCTGGGAGGGGCTAATGAGAAATAGGATGGAAGAGTTTATGGATATTAAAAAAGCTTTACTGCTTTTTTTTCTGCCAAGGATAAGGGACTATCTCCGAGCCCAGTCTCTTAATCCTTTCGACACCTAAGGAGGTGGGTCACCCTGGTCAGCTTCTTGACTCTACTCCTTTCCTTACTGTCCCCAGCTCCCAGGGTCCTCAGGGAAAAGGACGTTTGCAGAACCAAGGTTACCATTCAGTTTCACCTTTCCCAGCTGTTTAGAGGTATCCTAACTGGGACGCTCTGTTGCCCAGAGATATTTTGGGAGCGTCTCTGGTGATGTTTCCCTGAGTAGAGACAGCCGCCTCCCCAGGCCTGTGTGTCTCTTTTAGAACCGCTGTCCTGGTGCCAGGTTATGTTAGGTCACCCTCGAATTTGAGGTGGCTTGCCCCAGGATTAGATTAACTTCCCCGAGTGCCCCAGGAGGGGGGCGTGTCCCTGTCCAGGTCTCTACTCCCCTACACTGCCAGTCTGAGGAGGGACTCGAGTGATCCCAGCCCAGATCCTAAGCTGGTACCAAGAGGCTCTCCTGACCCTTCCTGTGCATCGACCCCCAGCTCCCTGCCCCCGCTCGTAGCCTCCCGCCTTCTTACCAGTGACAGGTGGGACAGCTGGGAGCCAGGTAGGGGCAGACCCAAGAGACCTGGGTGAGCCCCCAGTGCGGGAAGAGTGCGTGTGAACGCCGAGGGGCGGGCAGGAGGAGGCCAGGGGGTCCCCGGGCCCAGCCCCTCCGTCCTAGCGGCTCTGGGGCGTATGACGCAGCAGCCAAAGCAGCGGCAGCGGCGGGAGGAGTCGGCCGAGGGAGGGAGGAGAGTAGTGGGTGGGGAGCACCAGGGGGAGGAGAAGCCGGAGGGGCGGACAGGCAGCACCTCCCTCACCTCCGGCAGGCCCGGAGGGCACTGCAGGGTTGGGGGCGCGGCCTGTCGGGGAGGACGAGGAAATCCTTGCAACCCCCTTTTCGAGTGGGAGGCTCGCTCCAAGAGCAGCAGGAAATAACCCTCTTGGCAAGCAGCCTGCAGGTCAGGGCTGAGCCCCGCCCCATGCCACATCCGTTAGCTGTCCCGCCCCCGTGGCCACTCCAAGCTCCGCCTCCGCACACGGCACCGCCCTCCTCATTCACACTTCCTGTAGCCCCGCCCTCCCGCGCACGCGCGGCCCCGCCTGGGCGCTGCACCTGGGCAGACAGCCACACCTCCCGCCTCGAGAGCCCTGATGTGGCCGTGCTCCTCCTGGGCGGGGAAGGACAACCGGGCTAGTACACAGGCGGTGACGTGTCTGCGGCCAGCCAATGGGCAGCGGGCGGCAGGAACCGGTAGTTCAAACCGGTGGGCAGGCAAAAGGAGAGAATATGGAGTGCCCTGGCAGCACTCACACCAGACAAGGACAATCCTAAGAAACTGGTGACCCTGGGGTGGGCAGCTATGTAAGGATAAAGAGGCAACAGGATATCAAAGTGAAAGCCGAACAGAAAAGCAAAACACTTCTACATGCTTACGCATGTTTGTTTACAACACCTACAGGTACTAATGAAAGACCAAAAAAGTAGCGTTAATGATGGACTGACCTGGAAACCAATATCTGTTCCTTGGAATTTGCTAGCTTCCTCTCACAAGGCCCTGAGATAAGAAGAATTCACACTGCCCCTCCTTTCTGCCCTTCCTTTCCTGTGAGTCAACAGGTGGTAAATAGGGTCCTTAGGAAACAAAGAGATAGCTGTAACTCTGGTCTGCCCAGACAAGATTAATTAGCACACCCTGAGGCCCTAAGGTCTGCTGACCCTAATAGCAGACCATCCGGCCTCCAAGGGTCACGTACTCAATGGACAGAGGGTCCCATCCCCTCCCTAAGCTAGTGGGTTTGCCTTTAAAAACACCTGGGCCCAGGGGAGGGGGCTTCTCTCTGGAGGAGCCCGTATGCGCAAACGTTTCCTGTTCATTAAAGCCTCTTGCGTTTTGCAGCAACTGGACTGGACATTGAGTTCTTGGGGTATTGACCGAACCTGGAAGACTCCTCATTCTGAGGGTCTTACACTAATAAGACCTTTATTTAAGGGCTGGACTGCTTTTGCACAGGGCCAGGGATCTGTTCCCAGGACCCATAGTGCCGCTCACAGCCATCCAAAACAGTTCCAGAGGACCTGAAGCCCTCTTCTGAATTCAAGAAGCACTAGACATACACATGGTACACAAGTATACACACCCAAGGAAAACAATTATACGTAATAAAATATCTAAGACTAAGAAAAATGTTTTAAATCTACAACAAAATTTCTTTATTTGATAGTTGGGTACAAATGATGTCCACCCAATAAAAGTATCTCTCAACTCCCACCCCCACCCAGTACACAAACACCAAAACACACAGAGACGCAGGCACACTCGGGTGTACAGGAACCAGGCTTCTGGCTCCATCTTCATTTCTTATTAGCCTGAGCAGTACCGATAACACACTGGTTCACCTGTGGACCAATAGGATTATACAAGATCAGCATCTGCAGGGTAGCTAGAACAATGTGCCCATCCATCTCCCCCAGCTCCAATGCTGGGACACCTTCTGAAATGTTGAAATAAGGGATATTGAAAGTACAGATTAGCCTGGTCCCCCTAAGCCTGGAGGAGAGAAGGTCAGCAGTCTAGAGATGAAGCCCTATAGTGTTGGCTAGTTTTTATGTCAGCTTGACACAGACAAACTCTCATTTAAAAAGAGGGAAGCTCACCTGAAGAAATGTCCTATCAGATTGGTTTGTGGGCAAGCCACTGGGCTTTTTCTTAATTAGTGATTGATGTAGGAGGACCCACAACCCTATTGTGGGTGGAACCACCCCAGGCAGGTGGGTCTTGAGGTGTATAAGAAAGCAGGCTTGCCAAGTACTGGGCATAGTCTTAACACTTGACAGGCAGGCAGGAAGATGAGTTTAAGGCTACCTGACACTGTCTGAAACTAAAAATGAGATGATGGCGTAGTGTAGATGGTATAGGAGATGGGGCTTGGTGCCAGGGCACTTGCCTATCAGGTATTAGGCTCTGGGTCACATCTCTAATGCCACCAAAAAAGGAAAAAAAAAAAAGTTAAGCAAACAATAACAAAGGCAGATTTAGACAGTGAAGCTCCTGTCTATTATTAAATAGGCCAAGAATGTGAACTAGAATTACAAATCTAGACTACCAGACACCAAACTCTGAGGGAAGAGTGAGCAACTGCCAATCTGAATATGATGCCTTAACAGGACAAGACATTCTTCTTCAGAACACCACCACCAAGGAGGAGAGACCATTTCACATTATAGTAAACAAGTATTTCTACCAAACAGAGCCATTTTCCTACAAGTGACATGACTGGCCCTGCTAGGATCCTAATTTGAACAAACCTAACATAGCAAAGACATTTCTGAGATAGCTGGGAGAAACTTAAGTGGACATCAAAGTCACATCCGGCCTGGTGGCACACGCTTACAATCCCAGCACTTAGGAGGTGTAAGCACATCAGCTCAAGATCAGCCTTGGCTCAACACCAGTTTTACTGACATGAAATGCTGACTTAACACCCTTCGTGCCCCCACGGAGTGCTACATTAATACATAAAAATAGTTCAGGTAGCTAAGGTACTTGCCACCAAATCTGATGACAGGAACACTGAAGTTTGACCTCTAGGGTCCACTTGGAAGGAGAGGACCAATTCCTACAAGTTTCTCCTCCGGCCCCTGCCCCACCCCCACACACAGTCATTTTTTTAAATTTTAAGATGATTTTATGTGTAGGTATGTGTAGGAATGTTTTGCCTCCATCACATCCATGCCTGCAAAGGGTGTAGCAGCCCCTGAAACTAGAGTTAGGGATGGCTGTGAGCCAACACTTGAGTGCTGGGAACTGAACTGAGGACCTCTGCAAGAACAGCAAGTGCTCTTAACCACCTGTAACCACTTTAAAGCTGTCTTTTTTGTTTGTTTATTTTCTGTGACTGGCTTTCTCTGTGTAGCCCCAGTTGTCCTGGAACTCACTCTGTAGACCAGGCTGGCCTTGAACTCAAAGATCCTCCTGCCTTTGCCTCCAGAGTACTAGGACAAAAGGCATGCACCACGTGTGGCTAAACCTGCTTTATTATCTTTGAGAAATCAGGCTGGTCATACAGCTCAGAGAAGGTCATTTACTGTGACAGGATTCAACACCAAAATAAAGACAGGTGATAGACAGGCCACGCAACTGACAGAAGCTACCTCACAGAGAACGTCATGCAGGTGCTGTCATTATGACAGAAGGCAGACCCAGTCATGATGAGATCCCAAATACAGTCAGAACTCATCAGAGGAAAAGGGGAAACCAGGGGGAAGACAGTAATGAGACCCAGACCTGCCCATCCCTAGGTGGGTGAGCACACAGGCACTGCCTAGCTGTATACATCTCCTTTATTCTGGAAACTCCATTTCAAGGAGCATTTCTCTAGACATATCTAACTGGAAAATACACAAAATATGCACAAGATCAATGTGGTCTGGTTTATAATCAGAGCAAAGTAGAAACAGGGCAACTTCCAACAGTTGGAACTGGTATATAAATTTTGGTGGAGTCCTCCACAAACATAAAAACGATGTGACAGCCCCAGTGCCTGTGGGAATAATCCTGGGGGCTGTTTTGAAGAGCAAAGTAAATAAGGGACAGAAGTACACATGTATAACAGCAAAGGAATCGGAACACGGACATAGCTTGTTCTGGCAATATAGTCCAGACTATGTGGTCGTGTCTCCTAAAAATACTAATTTAAAAGCTAGTAGATAAAAATGGAATCAGTGTGCAGTACCCAAGATGCCTAGCAAGTTCGAATTCCTTTTGGATAGGTGTGCCACAGCCTAGAAAACAGTAGTCATAATGGAGACAGACTGTGGATACTGTGGGGTTTGAATGACAATGGCCCCCAGAGTCTCATACATTTGAGTATTTGGTCCCCAGTTGGTGGAACTGTCTGGGGAAGGTTAGGAGGTGTAGCCCTGTCAGAGAAGTGTATTGCGGGGTGGGGGGCTTTGAGATCTCAAAAGTTCCCTGTCTCTCTGTCCTCAATGTGAGCTCAGCTACTGTCCCAACCCCATGCTACTTGTCCACCACTGCCATAGTCCACTGCTATAAATAAAGGTCATAGACTCTAACCTCTAAAACGGTGTGCCACCAATAAACTCTCTTGTGCTACAAGTTCCTTGGTCACAGTGTCTTGTCACAAGAGTAGGAAAATAAGACAGCAGAGTAGCAGTTGTACCTTGGAAGCAAAACGTAGTGAATTGAGAGACTCGGAGACATTCTCTTCCAGAGGGGAAATATTCACAAACATGAGCCTGTGGAAAGAGAAGGGCCCAAGCCAGCATCAGTGTCTGCCAAGGCTGAGCACACACAGCTAAGACTGCAGCTCCTGCAGCCCCTTCCTTCCATCAGCTCCTTCCACTCACATCTTGGCACTACCACCCAGCGAGTTCTGCAGCAGGTAGGTAAGCTTGCTGTTTCGGTAAGGCACGTGGGACTCCTAAAGGGTAAGGGGCACAGGCAGTTAGGACAGGGCAGAGTTCTCCACAGCTCATGCCAACTGGCCCCCTTGCCTTCCCTGCCCATACACCCATCCCTACCTTATTGCTCAGGGCCATTATGACCAGTCCCAGTGTAGACAGACTGCTGTTAATGGACTGTGTTTCCCGAAGACGATCACGTTCCCCGGGGCCTAAAGTTAAACCAGGGTCTAGGCGCTCACTCCCAGCCAGGTCCACAAGGTTAAGGGGAGCCACACACTGCAGGCCCCGAGCAGCATGCTCTCCAGAAATCTGTAGCTGGAACACACTGTGACTGCGTGATGATCTCTCATTCTGGGCAGTTCGGGCCACAGCCCTGTTCTGGTGGGCCAAATGGAGCAGAGTCTCCACCTGGGGAAGGGATTAAGAAGGGGTAGAAGGAGTCAAAAGCTAGGATGTGTCGATGAAGCATGGCAGTGAGTGAGTCCACCCCTGCCCTCTTGGAGAAAAGCACAGAGTAGCAGAACCAGTGTGTATATAATATACATTTAGAGAGAACAGCCAGTCTTATCACAAAAGCCTATCCATCTAATCTATAATCTCAACTACCCGGGAGGCTGAAGCAAAAGAATCCAAAATTCAAGAACTCCTTGAAACACAGAGGGAGTTCTGAGAAGCTTAACAAGACCATGTCTCAAAATAAAAACAGACCAGGGGTGGTGGTTTAAGCCCATAATTCCCCACTACTCAGGAGGCTGAGACAGGAGGATTACCTTGAGGAGTTCAATCAAAGTCAGCCTGGGCTACAGTGCAAGATTCTCAAAAGGGCAAGGTGTTGGTGGCGCACACCTTTAATCCCAGCACTTGGGAGGCAGAGGCAGGTGGATCTCTGAGTTCAAGGCCAGCCTGGTCTATAAAGAAAGTTCCAGGACAGCCAGGGCTACACAGAGAAACCCTGTCTCAAAAAGCAACAACAACAAAAGAATCTCAAAAGTAGTAAAAGTGCAACCCAAGCAGCCTCACTGCCTGAAGACCAAGAGGGCAACCCCGAGGGCCCTGAGTGGGAACAGTCAGTCAGGAGTCACCATGGCTAATATGAACTAGCAATGGGGCAAACCCGAGGGCCTGAGTGGGAACAGTCAGTCAGGAGTCACCATGGCTAATATGAACTTCGCACAAAATGAGGCCTGAGATAGACCTGGAAAAGTCTGGTGACAATCACCCCTTCAGTGATTGTCCTTATGAAAACAAACCTGCCTTGCAGCCTTCCAGCTGAGTCCAGTGATGCCCACCCCCAGAACCCACCATCACCCCTCAGGGTGCTTTTGTCTTCACCACTCTGCCCACTTCTCTCCCTCTTCCCCCTCACCTCTCTCTCACAGGAAACAGGAACATAACGTGCATTGGTGACAGTAAGCTCCTCACTGCCTGGTCCTGCCCGACGAATCTCACACTCGCCCCCTTGACCCTTCCGGGTCCCAGTAGCTAGTAGGTCTCGGACGGTCTCATTGTAGATCTCTACGTAACTTGCCACAAAACTGTATGTCCAGCCCTGGCCACTCATCTCCTGGGCCACGGAGAATAAATGCCGCATGGCCCGAGGGATCAGCCCCTCTAATTGGGGGTCTCCCCCAGGCCCACCCTCCATAGTGAAGGTCTTGCCACTGCCTGTCTGTCCATAGGCAAAGATACACACAGGGTAGCCATCCAGTGCTGACTGGACAAGCATGGAGATCTCCTCAAACACTTCCTCCTGTTTGCTTCCTGGTGGGAACACCCGATCAAAGGAGAAATCATGGCGGGTAGTGGGTGCAGGTGCCCCGGTCAAGGTGGAACGCCGATCATCAGACCGTGAGAGGCTAAGGCGAGTTGGGAGATCAGAGGGTCCAGCAGGGCCATGGGGAAATAGGAGGAAGCCAGGGGATGGAGCAGGTTCCCCTGCAAGGACAGGGCGCACCCGGCAGAATACCCGAATATTGCCCTTAAGTTCCTGCAATTGGTTGTGGAGTCGACGGCGCTCCATCTCTAGCCCATGGAGCCGGTCTCCTTGCTCAGCCAGTAAGGTCACCTGGGCTGTAGTCTTCTGCCGCAGACATACCACCTCTGCTTCACTGCTTGATAGAGCTGCTTCTGAGGCCTGTAACCTCCTCTGCCCAGAGCAGAGGGACAGGAGGTGGGGTGCAAACAGTAATTAGAACAAGGCTTGTGCCAAAATGGGGTAGGTCTCTAGTCATGAACTTCATGGTCCACTAAAGAGGTAAGAAAGCTGGGCAATGGTGACACACACCTTTAGCCCCAGCACTCAGGAGGCAGGGGCAGGCAGATCTCTGAGTTGCTAGCTAGCCTGGTCTACAGAGCTGGTTCGAAGACAGCCAAGGTTACACAAAGAAACCCTGTCTTGAAAAACCATAAAAGAAAGCAGAAAAAAAAAAAAAAAATGGGTGTAGGGCTCCTGGGACTATGGAGATTGCTCAGTGAATAAAAGCACTTGATAAGAAAACAGGAGGCCCTGAGTTAAAAAATCCCAGCAGCCATGTAAAGCTGGGCATGGCTACATGTTACCTATAATCCCAGTGTTGGTTGGGGAGCAGAATGGGAAGGTGTGGGACCCTGCTGGCTAGCCCAGCCAGAACAGTGAGCTCTAGGTTCAGTGACCCCCCCCCTTTGCCTGCTGCCACATGAGAGGAGGGAAGGAGAGTAAGGGAGAAAGGAATGAACTCTAGGGGCTGGAGAGAAGTTAAGAGCACTGGCTGCTCTTGCTGAGGTCTTGAGTTCAATTCTCAGCATTCACATGGTGGCTCACAACTGTATGTCATGCGATCTGGTGCCCTCTTCTAGAGTGCAGGCAGACGTGTAGACAGAGCGTTCTATGCATAGTCAATAAATAAATTTTTAAAGAAAATAAAATTCTAGCACAAGGATAAGGAGTTTGAAGGGAATATCCAAGATGCTGTCCAAAGTGACACTGGAGTGGACTAAGGGAAGGGGGGACATAAGTTATTAAGGACAGTAGTGTCATCTAACAGGCGCTCACCAGAGTCCACAGACATGGAAAGAGGGAGAAATGTGGGAGGTATGAACAGAGGAAGAAAAAGGGCAAAGCAGGTAGTGTCACGAGTTGCTCAGAGCCAGTGGGTACACAGACAGACACCCTGCTGAAGACATAAGGCCTCTGCTTGGGAGGGAGGGAGGGAGCACTGTGAGACTCTGGCCCTTACCTCCTGCTCCTCCAGTCGGGTGGCCAGTGCCTTTTTGTCCTCCTGCAATCCCAGCTGTTCTTTCTGGAGCTCCTGAATCAGGCCTTCCTTGGCACCCAGACATTTCTCCAGCTCCAAGACACGGGCACACAGAGTCTCCAGTTTCTGTTGGCCCTCCTCTGCCTGGGTGCGCACACTGGCCAGCTCCCCTTCCAGGGCGTTGCGCTCTGTCCCCAGGGCCTCAGCCTGCTCCTGGGCTTTTTTAAGTTGCTCCTGCAGCCCTCGGTTCTCCTGGTCCAGCCTCTGAGTCTTCTCCCGATAACGTTTCAGATCTTCAGTGAGGTCACACACCTGACCCTTTAAGTCCCAGGCAGGGCGTTTACCAGGCCTCTTCCCTGCCACCACAGGAGCAGTCGATGCTGGCACGGATCAGGAGGCACAGGTCAGGAGCCCACCTTCTACCCTCCAGCCTCCATACCTCATGCTACCTCTGCCTCTCTCCTCTCTACACAGGAAGGCAGCGGATGCTTTCTGGGCCCTCATCACCTCCCCTCTTCCCACCCCAGCCTCGCACCCATGTTTGTATGTCACCTACTGACAGGCTTCTGGGTCGGAGCAGCAGGAACTGGCTTCTGGTTCTTCAGCACTAGAGGGTCAAGAGTCGACACAGAATTATAGGTTGACACAGAGGGACACACCTGCAACCCCCTGCCCTTGGGAGGCCAAGGCTAGAGAATTGCCAGTTCAAGGCCAACCTGAGCTGTAGTGACACACAAATCACAAAGTCTGAGCAGTTAAAGAGCACTTGCTGCTCTCAGCAGGGCGTTGATGGTGCACGCCTTTAGTCCCAGCACTTGGGAGGCAGAGGCAGGCAGAACTCTGTGAGTTCAAGGCCAGCCTGGTCTACAGATTGAGTTCCAAAACAATAACAACAACAACAACAACAAAAAGGTGCACTTGTTGCTTTCACAGAGGAGCCGGGTCGGGTCCCAGCAGCCTCATCAGGGACTCACAACCACCTATGACTCTAGCTCTTTCGGACTCAATGCCATGCCTCCCTCTGTGCACCCAGGGGCTGTGGTGTGACTTAGTGGCAGAGCACTCGCCTAACATGCCAGGCTCTGGACTGGATCCCCAACAGCCCTTCCCACCGAAAAGAGCTGTAGGACCAGAGCTCTTTGTCACCTTTCTCCCTCCCATGAACCAAATCCCTGGTCAGCCCAGTTTACACACTATTACCTGAACCAAGGCCAGTGCAACCACGAGGTCCTCCTGTCTTCTTAGCGCCTTTCTGAGCTGTCCAAGTAAGGGAGGAAAAGGTACAGCACCCATGCTTAACATGTTCTGACACATATTTTAAAGGGTCAGAAAAGACAATACACTGTAACGAGTACGGTTTTTCCGCCTGCCGCCGCCTGGTCTTGTCCTGCCGCCGCCTCGTCCTATAAGTCTCTGGAGAGCTCCTAATGGCCTTTCTAGGACCAGAGGCAACTCACTATGCCAAAATTCAGTAAGTAAAAAGAGCAAGTAGGTAGAGCTGTGCATGTAGTACCTGCTACTACCTGTTCACCAAGTAAAAAGTTATTGACTCAAAGCAGATAAAATCTGAAAGAAAAAGGAGTGAGCAGTACACCTACACCTCCCTGCCCCCTTGGTGTGGCCCACCCCTAGAACCCACCTGCAGTCGGGCCCTGTGTCTGTGACACTGTGCTGACGAGTGGTCCTCTGGGGCGAGATGTGTCAATTTTGGTCACTGCACCCAGGCCTCGTGTCCGTTTCTGGGGACAGACAAGGATGGGGCTCCAGAGTGGCCTGTCCTTGTCCCTCCCTCTCCTCTCTTTCTTACCCTTGCTCTCCAAACACATCTCACCTTTGCAGGCTCTAAGGTATCCTCCATCTGGTCTGGGCCCCTCTTGAGCCTGCTTCCAGGAAGCAGGGGCAGTCGGGAGGAGGCCTTGACCAGGGTTGTCTTCAGCTCAAAGTTCCTCTTCACTTCCAACAAAGGGGGCCTCTGTTAGAAAAAAGAGGCACTTAAAGCAGGACCAAGCTGGGCACCTGGAAGGCAGAGGCAGGCAGATCGCTGAGTTCAAGGCCAGCCTGGTCTACAGAGTGAGTTCCAGGACAGCCAAGGCTAGGCAGAGGAACTATCTCAAAAAACAGAACAACAAAAGTCCACAAACTCCCCTCTTTGCAGCTCCCCGGACCTTAATTTTCAATATTGACTCTCAACAAGCTTTACATGAGAATCATTTATGCCAAAAGTGGGCACCGTGTACCAGGTAAACAGCACAAATAGATGGAGAGAGAGCATGACAGAGGAGTGGGAACTACCTCTATCTAAGAGGGAAGCCATACCCCTGCTGTCTTTTAGGGTTGAACTCAAGCAAACAGAAACATATTCTGAAAACAACAATTCTAACACTTCTAACACACAGGACCGCTTTGAAGCCAACAGACCTTTCTAGTTAAAGCTAGGATCATACAAGAGCAGGCTGTTTACAGGGTGCCATTTTAAATGCTTGCCTCTAGGCTCCATTATTAACTAATTCTGCAAATGGGGAGGCAGACACCACCAGGTGGAATGCCTATCTGAGATCACACCTGTGCAGTCTGTGCACCATGTACACACAATACTAGTGGAGAGAGGCCAACAAGAGGTTGTCAGACTGTTGTTGCCCTCCATTTGGATTCACAACTCAGGTCCTCTGCAAGCCCGAGGTGTGCTAAGCCACTTCATTGCCCCCCCCCCAGCTTGCTTTCTTATATATCCCTACCCCACATGCCTCAGGATAGTGCCACCCATAGCACAAGGTCCTCTCACATCAATGTAAATCACAACAGTTCCCTAGCTGAAGTTCTCTCTTCTCAAGTGACTCCATTTGTGTCAAGTTGACAAGAAAAACTAAGCAGTACACTATGGGAGTCAGTTCTTCTCCCACCACACAGCTCCTATGGACCCAATTCAGGCTGCCAGGCTTGGCAGCAAGTGCCCTACATCTCACCAGCCCTTTCAGCTACTTCCAGGTGCAGTCTTGAGGATGAGTTGGTTTCATGAGCATGACTCAAGGACAAGCAGCCCAGTAAAGAAGCAAAAAGGGGCACATGCAATAACAGTAACGTCCCATGCAGATCAGCACATGGGGTACAGCAGGAATGGAGGAGACAGCAGATGAGAGGGAAGGAAGGAGCTGCTGGTGGTGCTGTAATGAGCAGTCTGAACACTCTGAGGATTCTGAGGCAGGAGAATACAACTACGTTGGTTTTGGAGAACTGAACTGTGAGCCACACATGGCAGCACACACTAATCCTAGCACTCAGGTGATTCAATAAGGTCACAAGTTTTAAGGCTGGCCTGGTTGGACTGTAAGCAAGATCTTGTGGGGGGGGGGGAACTGTGAGCATTTGAAAATGAATGCAGGTAGAAGAGAGATGAGTAATGTCATATACAGAGACTACATTATTCATCCATAAGGACTTGGCAAACATCTGCTTTGCTGCAGACATGGCGCTAGGCCAAGAGTGATGAACACCAAGTCCTTGCCTTCTCAAAGCTTATTTTCTAGGGTAACTGCCAAACTGAAGTTCTGTAAAATGAACTAAACCATAGAAAACAACCGATTTTCTCTAGAATATAAACGACTCTTACCATGTTGAGTGCCTGGGACAGAATCTAATTCACCTAATCTAGCGACTGCACAACACCAGGGCTGCACTCATGCAGCTCGATGACAACTGTTTGTTGCAGGGGCCTGAACACCAAATGCAAGTCCATCTGGGAGAAGAAGGTAAGCATTAACCAAGAAGGTGGTGGGCTTCCTGAAGCCAGTGTTGGTGTAATTAGGAACTGGCTGGGCAGGAGCTGAGGAAGTCTAAGCTGCCCAGTGTGCCTGCTATGGCTCCATTACTAATTCACAGGAAGGAGGTCTGACTTAGTTCAGTGTGTTTTTTTTTTTTTTTTTTTTTTTGGTTTTGTTTTGTTTTTTAACTATTGCTGAGAAGGGTTGGGTGTTGAGCAGAACCCTGAAGGCTATTAGAGGCAATTGCGTATATGTATTAACCAGCCCACTGGTCAGAATCTGTAGTCTGCCTCAAACCCAAGTTGCTTGTATACTGGCTGAGCCTGGGGAGCCAAGCAGATAAACAAGAATACCCAGCAACCAAGCCCTCAGCCTGGGCCCCAGCAGTGTCTGTGCCCTCTGACCAACTGTACTTTTGCACAGATCTGTTGATCCCAACACATGAGGAAGAATCTGGTGAAACTGTAATGAAGACTGGAGCAGGGCCTTGACCACCCCACGGCCACTGAGAGAGCTGGCAACAACTAGTAAGTTCACCAAAGACAAGAACTAAAACATTTAATGACACTAACAGGGTCATCCAGATGGAGTCCTGCAAGAATGGGTGTGACAAGACCAAATTCTGAACCTCCTTACAGTCCTGCACATATTACAAAGCGGAGTGAACTAAGCTGGTTTGGTCCAGCTTCAGAAAGGGGATCTCTGTTAGGCATGATGGCAGATGCCCTCAATTCCAGCTGGCCTAGGCAACTTACTTAGCATGGTTGTGTTTAACCAAAATTGAAAAAAAAGACAAAAGGCTTGGGTACAGTCTACGAGTAGAACATGCAGCAGGAGCCATTCAATCTCCAACACTAAATAAATAAATAAATAAATAAATAAATAAATAAATAAATAAATAGACTGTCAAGGTAGTTCAGGAAGTAAGGGCACTTGATGCCAAACCAGATACCTAAATTCAATGCCCAGGACTCATGACTCCAGAAAGTTGTCCTATGACCTCTGTAAGTATGCCATGGCACATGAGCCTGCACATAAAGCATAAACAAATGGCTTTGCTGGCATAAAGCTTACAAGCTGATGCTACACTACTACTCGGACTGTATGACAATGAACACAGATGTGAGCCCACTCTTTTTTTGTTGTTGTTTTTCTTTGTGTAGCTTTGGAGCCTGTCCTGGAACTCGATTTGTAGATCACACTGGTCTCGAACTCACAGAGATCTGTCTGCCTCTGCCTCTGCCTCCCGAGTGCTTGGATTAAAGGCGTGAGCCACCAACACCCTGAGAGCCCACTATTTCTAGTCTCCTCAGCTACTGAGCACTTTAAATTTTGTACTCTCAGAGGCCAGCCTGGTCTACAGAGCAAGTTCAGGACAGCCAGGGCTGTTTCACAGAGAAACCCTGTCTAGAACCCCCAAAATAAATAAATAAATAAAGCTTTTTGTTCAGCTGACTTTTTGTGCAGAGATGTTAAAAGAAGCTGTCCTGGCCAGCAATCTTCAGCTACATAAAATCCCAGGTAAGCCTCAGCTACATGGACTGGGGTTTGGGGGTGGATATCCCTATAACTTGGAAAGTAACTATAGGAGGTTGTTTTGATTGGATCTCTTCCCCAATTCCTTAATTGCCACATACTTTCAATTTTGAATAGTATCTACAGGGCTGGAGAGATTGCTCAGCAGTTAAAAGCAATGGCTGCTCTTCCAGAGGGCCTGAGTTCAATTCTTAGTAACTACATGGTGGTTCACAAACATCTGTAATGAGATCTGGTGCCCTCTTGTGGTGTGCAGGCATAACAGAACAGTAAATAAATCTTAAAAGAAAAATATTATCTGCCAGGCGGTAGTAGCACATGCCTTTAGTCCCAGCACTTGGGAGGCGGAAGCAGGCAGATCTCTGTGAGTTCGAGATCAGCCTGGTTTACAGAGTGAGTGCCTGGATAGCCTCCAAAGCCACAGAGAAACCCTGTCTCGAAAAACAAAACAAAACAAAACAAAAAAATAGTATCTACAAGCCACATGCTTGTAGCTTGCTTTTCATTGCTAAACTATGAATGATGTGGATCATGTTTGTAGATGACAATGTCACACCTTTAAAAATGATGTTAACATGGTTCTCATATTTTTTTCTATAAAGAAAGTGAACCAAAAAAAGGGGGGGGGGAGCCAGGCATGGCGATCCCAACACTACCAATACTGTGGAAACAAGAGGCAGGTGACTCTGAGAGTTTGAGGCCAGTCTGATCTACATACAGAGCCAATTAGTTCTAGACCAACCAGGATAACATGGTCAGACCCTCTTTCAAACAAAACAAAAACAGAACAACTTTATTGCTGATGAATTGTGAAGTATCACCTTTTGTGTTTGCTTTTTGTCCTTCAGTGACTTATTTATCGTGGACAACTCTAACCAGTATAAATAGTATTATTTTTCTCCCTTCTTCTGTTTTATTTATTTACTGTGTTTTTTTTTTTTTTCAAGACAGGGCTTCTCTGTGTGACTTTGGAACCTGTCCTGGAACTCACTCTGTAGACCAGGCTGGCTTTGAACTCAGAGAGATATGCTTGCCTCTGCCTCCTGAGTGTCGGGATCAAAGACATCTGCCACCAACACCCACCTTCTCTCCCTTCTATAAGGGTAGACACAGTGACCAACTCTTAGAAGTGTTTATCATTCACTATAAGGAGACACACTGAACCCTTTTATCTCCAGAAGATCCTAGATGGAAGTTGCTGCTAAGGCCACCCTCCTGTGTGCTTTACATCACAGCCACCTTGACATCATCTTCACTCCACTCAGTCACTCCAGTCACCCACTTGGTGGTGGTGGCGCACACCTTTCATTCCAGCACTCAGATACACAGAGAAACAAAATAAACCCTCTCTTAAAAAACAATACTCCAATCAGTGTACAACAAACACGACAATTTCCTGCAACTCAAAAGCTCCTCCACAGTGCTCTATGGGGAGATACTGCCCTTTCATTGTACTGCATGTCAGATATTTACATTATGATTCACAACAGTAGCAAAATTACAGCTATGAAGTAGCAACAAAAATAATCATATGGTCAGGTGTCATACAGGACAAACTGTATTAAAAGGTCACAGCATTAGTAAGGTTGAGAACCACTGGTATAAGGCAGTCACTGCATTCAATTTATCTCTTAAACAAATTTCACTTCCACCATTTCAACTACCCTCCCACCCACCCCCCACCCCCCACCCCCCGCTGAGCAGTGGTGGTACACTCCTTTAATCCCAGCACTCAGGAGGCAGAGGCAGGCAAAGTTCTAGACCAGCCTGGTTTACGGAGCAAGTTCCAGGGAGCTAGGATCACAGTCCCAGTTTCACCTTACAGAATCAATTTTAAATTATGTTTCTTTTTGGGCTTGTTCTCTTCCTTTGTTGAGGCAGTGTATCACTGGCCAGAAACTCAAAACCCTCTCCCGAGCCTCTCACAGCTGATCTCAGGTTTTGTCCAGGGGATGATAGAATCAGGGGCTCTTGAATGCTTTCCCAGCACAGTACCTCCAAGCTCCTCCCTCCAGCTTTCAATCACCAAGCCTTAGCTGATGGCCCTAGTCCTTCTGACTTTCGTCACACATTTTATTTATTTCTATCTCTGCAGTGATATCATCTCACTGGTGGCTGGAACTTCTATCTCCGATGTAAGCACAACTGTGCAGGGCATACAGAAGATGCTCTACAAGCACTGTGTGCATAGGTGTGAGAAAAACTTTGACAAACTTTTACTGTCACCTGTCACAGTGCAGGTGAGTGTCCCAGAAAGTCTCTTCAACTTGAACGCTGACGGTGGGTCAATCTGAAGTGAAACACTAGTAAACAAAGAACGCAGGCTGGCTTTTCCTGGCACTAGAGGCCAGTTCATTAATTGCCACATACACACCTCAGAATGAGTGGATCAGAGCACCCACAAGCTAGTCAACCAGCCCTACTGGGCAAAAGAAAGAGATGAGAGAATAAGGAGACTTTCAGATAGATCGCCCCGTTTCTCCTCTCCCCTCCCCCCACCCAAGACACAGCAGCAACGAGAAGTCCACACAAAGAGCATCGATCCGCAGGGATGTGCTTCTCAGAAACCTCGCTTCCCTCTCAAGGCTAACTCTTAACAACTGAGAAACAGAAACGTGTCGGACCCGCTTGAAAATGCGAAATGGGAAATGCTGGAGACAGCTAAGTGACACCGGGACTGTCGCGCCAGCACGACGGGGACGGCTGGCCAACATCGCAGCAACCGTATCGGGCGGCTCGCTGTCTGTCGCCTGCACGACCTCGGCCGCCGGGGTGCAGGTCGCGAGACCGTTCGGCCGTCGCCTTGCAGCCGGGCATGCCCCCGACCTGTCCCCCGAGCCACAGGGACCCTCGCGGCGGGGACGGAGGGGCCATCTCCGCCGCACTCACCGGCGCCTGCATGTCCACTGTGGTCCGCACAGGACAGGATGCAAAGAATGCAAAGGAAGGGGACCGAGGGCCGGCGACCCGGGACCGGCGTTCTCTCACGGGATCGCGCGTTACAGCCCGAGAGCCAAAGCGGCCTGGAGTCGGGCCACCTGCCACACCCGCCACTTTTGAATTTCAACCGCCGCGCCGCAGACTCACCGCTCAGCCGGCACAGGCCAATCGGCGCCGGCGACACGGCCGCGAGCCAATCTCAGTGCCCTCAGCCTTGGGGGCCACGCCCTCTCGGCTGTGCGATCCCCGTCACCTCGGCGCGAGAGACCCGGACTCTTGGATCCTACTTCCGTATCCGCTTTTTCCTATTTTAATTTTTAACCCCGCCCTCTCCCCTCCTTTACGCGGAGCGCGCTTCACTTCCGCTCGGCTTCCAGAGGCCTCGGTTACCTCAGAAGTGCGCGTGCGTGGAGGAGCCCGGGGAGGGCAGACAACACGCATGTGCAAAGTCGCCCTGAGCAGCGCCGGAGCGGAGCGAGCGCCACCTAGCGGACTCCACAGGAAATGCATGGCTCATCGCCCGTCCTCTGGACCCAAGACGCTCTAGCGAGGTCGCTCGTGATGGGAGCTGACTTTGATGGCGTCAACCTGTCTCAAAAAAAGTGAAGGTCTGGCGACATGACAACAGGTGTAACGTTTGCCTAGCATGCTAAGGGCCCCCGAGTTCAATCGCCAGCGCAGGAAGAGAGCTAAAAGAAGGGGGCGGGGGAAGCATGAGAAGGCGAAAATTCAGAACACAAAATTCTTGCAGTGTTTCCAAGTGTCATGGAATATGGTCATAAAACTAGAGACAGGGCTGGGAAGATAGCAAAATGGTAATCCCTGAAACCCATATGAAGTGGACGGGGAGGACCTCCCTGCACTTAAAGATAAATAAATAAATAAATAAATAAATAAGTAAATATTGTTTTTCAAGACAGGGTATCTCTGTGTAGCCTGGGCTGTTCTGGAACTCGATCTGTAGGCCAGGCTAGCCTCAAACTCATAAGAGATCCGCCTGCGGGGTTGGAGAGATGGCTCAGAGATTAAGAGCTCTTCCCAGAGGTCCTGAGTTCAATTCCCAGCAACCACATGTTAACTCACAACCACTTATCATGAGATCTGGTGCCCTCTTCTGGCCTGCAGGCAGAACACTGCTTATGTAATAAAAATAAGTAAATAAATTTGCTGGACCTTGGTGGCACACGCCTGTAATCTCAGCACTCAGGAGAGGCAGGCAGATCTCTACGAGTTCGAGGCCAGCCTAGTCTACAGAGCTAGTTCCAGGACAGGCTCCAAAGCCACACAGAGAAACCCTGTCTCAAAAAACAAAAATATAGAGATATGCCTGTTTCCCTAATTCTGGGATCAAAAGGTTCGTGCCAGATTTGGAAATGGCTCAGAAGTTAAGAGCACTGGCTGCTCTTCCAGTGCTCTTGAGTTCAATCCCCAGCATGATGGCTCACAGCCATCGATCATGAGATCTGGTGCCCACTTCTGGTGTGCAGGCACACATGCAGGCAGAACACTATATACATAATAAAAAGCCCTATGGTGGTGGCACATGTCTTTAGTCCCAGCAATCGGGAGCAAGAGGTAAGCGGATCTCTGTGAGTTCGAGACCAGCCTGGTCTACAAGAACTAGTTCCAGGACAGCTTCCAAAACCACAGAGAAATCCTGTCTTGAAAAACAAAAACAAACAAACTAAAAAGGCATGTGCCACCACCACCAGATTCAATAAACAAACTTTTTAAATAATAAAAGTGTAGCAGAATCCTGTTGGCCTGGCTCCAGAGAGCTACCACCTAGCCTAATCCATTCTTTGTTGACTAGATACCTTTTGTCACCCTATGTGAACTCTGTTTGGGAGTTTCCCAGGGATCCAAAGCCTATGTAAACTTGGTTCAGGAAATCCAGAAAACTGTGGTACTTATGAATAGAGACTCTGCACATGGCATTGTGTTTTTAGAATCCTCATTCAAGTTGTTCTGAGCATATGGTAATCACCTGGCTAAAGTGTTAATACAGAAAAATAAAAATGCTCTGGGCATAGGGAAAGCACTTCAGTCCATTAAGACTGGGGACCCCTGCAGCCGCAAAAAGGTTAAATTCATTGTTAAAGTGTCTCAGTTTTCTTTCTATGACGGATCCTCATGAACCCACATTCAAGCCTTGACGTCTGAGACATAAAAGACCAGAAGCTGAGTGGTGGTGCACACCTTTAATCCCAACCCTCAGGAGGCAGAGGCAGGCTGATCCCTATGAATTCAAGGCCTGGTTTACAGATGAAGTTCTGGGACAGCCAGGGCTACACGGAAAAACCCTGTCTGGGAAAAGAAAAAAAGGTGTGTGTGGGGGGGGAGAACTGGAGACTGGAGACATGGCTCAGTGGTTAAGAGCACAGAAGCACAGAATGCTCTTCCAGAGGACCTGGGTTCAATTCTCAGCACCCACATGGCAGTTTATAAATGTCTATAACTTCAGTTCTAGGAGACCTGACACCCTCACTCACTATACATACAGGCAAAATACCAATACATAAAAAATAAAAAAGGAAACCCCAAAATAAATAAACATAACAATATAAATAACAGCTGGGGCTCTGTGGAGAGACCTGTCTCAAATAAATAAATAAATAAATAGTACATTTCTTTACAAGTTGTAAATCTACCTCTATATTCAAGATCTCACTAAAGAAGTTTCTGAGTACACAAATGGGGCACACTAGAAAGTTCCTGGTTTTAATTTCCCAAAGTTAGTGGTTTCTAGACTAGATAGTATTTCTTAATTAATGACTTCCTAGAAAAAGCAAAGTTTTAGTCATTAACAATGTTTGAGTTTGTCTTTTTTATTTTGTTTTGAAGACAAGATGTCTCTGTGTAGACCAGACTGGCCTCTCAAACTCACAGAGATCCACCTGCCTCTGCCTCCTAGCGCTGGGATTAAGGGTATGTGCCGCCCCTGTTGCCGACACCACCACCCTGGCTGAGTTTATCTTTCTTAGCATGAAGCCTGACAGCAAGGTAAAGCTGTGAAGGGACTGACCCTGCGGGCATTGCAGCCTCTGAAGAGGAGCTGGCTGAGGTTGGCTTGCTGCGGCTGCGGCTGCTGCTAAACTATCTGATGAAGCTAGAGCACCCCCATCACAGGTGTCTGAGAAGTAATAAGCAAATAGCCTCTGTATCAGTTAGAGACTTAGAGCCTGTGATCCTCCACTGTGGATGATCTCAATGACTTTGTTGGGGGCACACTGGCAGCATCTGCCTTTGGCAGCCAGACCAGGTCTCAGATTTTTTTGTGAAGAAGGAACTTGGGAAAACTGTAGAGTACTGCAGTCAACTCAACAGTGTCTTTAGTTTGGCCAGGGCCCTGGCACCATGAAAGGCGTGGGTGGGCAGTTCTTTGCCCAGTGGTCAGTGTTATTACAGTTGAAGCAAGCCCCAGGTGAAATCAGTTGCTGCCCATCTTCTTTGGAAACTGCCTCAGCTGCTTGCTACAAGAAACTGGAATTTTATCTACCCAGAGAGACCCTTTTCATTAGCCATGTTAAATGCCACGTTCAGCAGTTTTCTCTGAGGTGTTTGAAGGCCATTATCTAATTTATTAAATATACTTGACTTTTTTTTTGGAGGGGGGGTCTGAGACAGGGTTTCTCTGTAGCTTTGAGCCTGTCCTGGAACTCACTCTGCTGACCAGTCTGGCCTCCAACTCACAGAGATCCATCTGCCTCAATCTCCCATGTGCTGGATTGAAGGCATGCACTGCCACTGCTTTTATCATGCTTTTGTCCTCATGTTTCTGTTTTTGTGTGTGTGTGCTTTGCTTTTTCTTCTCAGGACAAAAATCATCATACAGTGGTGGCAAGTTCCAGGCCAGCCTGGTCTACAAAGCAAATTCCAGGACAGGCTCCAAAGCTACACAGAGAAACCCTGTCTCAAACAACAATACAAAAAAAAAAAAAAAAATACAAAAATCCACCCTAATCCAAAATATTTTGGAGTTTTACTTGGATACTTGCTGTTGTCTCCTTAGTCTAAAAAGTAGATACAATGATAAGCAGAGGACTCTGCCTTAGTTGGTTTATACTATAGCAGCAAGCCACATAGTTGCTGTTTACTCCAAGATGAGCCCACCAGGAACATACCCTTTGAAAAACCGACAGTCTATTTTCCTAACAAGAGTGAAATCCAAGTTGCATACAAGCATGCTGCTGTAGATTTTTAACTATCAACCCAACTTTTAAACTCTTTTGTTGTTACAGATTCTAACCACACCCAGTGAACTAACAAATTCTGAGATACAGAAACTTTGCACCATGGTCTCACAAACCTTGAGATAAAGTTATACTTTAGCAAAAGTTTGAGAGATATAAAAGAGGGTGTACTTTACAGAGTTATATAAAACCAAGGAAAGGAGTGTGAGACAAGCAGCTGTAATCTCTACTGGGAACACTGTTTTACCTGTTCTAAAGCACATAGTGTCTTCTCCTGGGCTGTTCTGTTTTGTTCTCCTTCTTTCTGTCACAGAGTCAGCTAACTGCCTGACCCAGGAAAGAGATTTTGGAGGAAACTTCTAAACAAGCATGCTTGCATCTGGAGAAAGCAGGCTGTAACCCAACTCCAGAGCCAGACTTTTTATAGAACATGTACAACATGAAATAATTTTTTATTTATTATTTTTTTCTTATTTTACATTTCAGAAACAATTTTTAAAAGATTTTATTATTTATACAACATTCTGCCTTCATGCATATCTGCACAGCAGAAGAGGGCACCAGATCTCATTACAGATGGTTGTGAGCCACCATGTGGTCTCTGGGAATTGAACTCAGGACCTCTGGAAGAGCAGCCAGTGCTCTTAACCTCTGAGCCATCTCTCCAGCCCATGAAACAATTTTTAATATTATCCATACCAAAAAGACATTTGAATTTTTGTAAGATCTGGCTCCAGCAATCAGAGGGAGGGACTAGAGCAAGAAGGTTTGCAGACTTGAGAGTAGAGAAAGTTTAGAGATAAGAGATGTGGAGATCATGTGTTTGTACAGTGGTAGAAGT